TTGATTCTTCCTGACCCTGAGCATGGAATGTTTCTCCATCTATTTATGTCCTGTCTAATTTCCTTTAGCAGTGATTTGAAGTTCTTCTTGAAGAGGTCCTTCAAGTCCTTTCTTAGTTGTATTCTTATATATTTTATTCTCTTTGTAGCTATTGTGAATGGGAGTTCACTCATGATTTGGCACTCTGTTTGTCTGTCATTGGTGTATAGGAATGCTTGTGATTTCTGCACACTGACTTTGTATCCTAAGACTTTGCTGAAGTTGCTTATCAGCTTAAGGAGATTTTGTGTTGAGATGATGGGGTCTTCTAAATACACCATCATGTTGTCTGCAAATAGAAGACAATTTGACCTCCTCTTTTCCTAATTGAACACCTTTTATTTCTTTTCCTTGCCTGATTTCTCTGGCTAGAACATTCAATACTATATTGAATAGGAATGGTGAGAGAGGGCAACCTTCTCTAGTACCAGTTTTCAAAGGGAATGCTTCCAGTTTTTGCCCATTCAGTATGATATTCGCTGTGGGCTTGCCATAAATAGCTTTAATTATTTTGAGATGTGTTCCATCAATACCTCGTTCATTGAGAATTTTTAGCATAAAGCATTGTTGAAATTTGTCAAAGGGCTTCTCTGCATCTTTTTATATGATCTTGTGGTTTTTGTGTTTCATTCTGTTTATGTGGTGGATTACGTTTATAGACTTGCGTATGTTGAACCAGCCTTGCATCCCTGGAATGAAGCCAACTTGATTGTGACGGATAAGCTTTTTGATATGCTGTTGCCTTTGGTTTGCCAGTATTTTATTGAAGATTTTTGTATCAATGTTCATCATGAATATTGGCCTGAAGTTTTCTTTTTTATTTGTGTCTCTGCCAGGTTTTGGTATCAGGATGTTGTTGGTCTCATAAAATGAGTTAGAAGAATTCCCTTTTTGTGATGTTTGGAATAGTTTCAGAAGGAATGCTACCAGTTCCTCTATGTATATCTAGTAGAATTCAGCTGTGAACCTGTCTGGACCTGGACTTTTTTTGGTTGGTAGGCTATTAATTGCTGCCTCAAATTCAGACCTCATTATTGGATTATTCAGGGATTCAACTTCTTCTTGGTTTAGTCTTGGGACTGTGGAAATGTTCAGGAATTTATCAGTTTCTTCCGTATTTGCTGGTTTCTGTGCATAGAGTTGTTTCTAGTGATCTCTGATGTTGGTTTGTATTTCTGTGGCTTTGGTGGTGATATCCACTTTATCATTTTTTATGGCATTTATTTGATTCTTCTCTCTTTTGTTTTTTATTAATCTGGCTAGTGGTCTTTCCATTTTTCTTTACTTTTTCAAAACACCAGCTCCTGGATTTATTGATTTTTGAAGGTTTTTTTTTTTTGGTGTGCCCCTCTCCTTCAGTTCTGCTCTGATACTAGTTATTTCTTGTCTTCTGCTAGCTTTTGAAGTTGTTTGGTCTTGTTGCCTTTCCTCTTTCAATTTTGATGATAGGGTGTTGATTTTAGATATTTTCTCACTTCTCATTGAGCATTTATTGCTATAAATTTCCCATTAGACTCTCCTTTAAATATGTCCCAGAGATTCTGTTATGTTGTGGCTTCATTCTCATTGGTTTCAAAGAACATCTTTATTTCACCTTCATTTCATTGTTTATCCATTCGACATTCAGGAGCAAGCTGTTCAGTTTCCATGTAGTTGTGTGATTTTGAGTTCGTTTCTTAATCCTGCACTCTAATTTGATTGCACTGTGGTCTGATAGACTACTCATTATGATTTCCATTCTTTTGCATTTGCTGAGGACTGATTAACTTCCAATCGTGTCATCAATTTTAGAGTAAGTGTGATGTGGTGCTGAGAAGAATGTATATTCTGTGGATTTGGGGTGTGGAGTTCTATAGATGTCTATTGGGTCTGCTTGGTCCAGAACTGCATTCAAGTCCTGGATATGCTTGTTGATTTTCTGTCTCATTGATCTGTCTAATATTGACAGTGGAGTGTTAAAGTCTCCCAGTACTATTGTGTGGCAGTCTAAGCCTCTTTGTAAGTCATTAAGAACTTGCTTTATGTATCTGGGAGCTCCTGTATTGGGTGCATATATATTTAGGATGGTTAGCACTTTTTGTTGCATTAATCCTTTTACTATTATGTAATGCCCTTGTTTGTCTCTTTTCATCTTTGTTGGTTTTAAGTCCATTTTATCAGAGACTAGTATTGCAACCTCTGCTTGTTTTTCCTCTGCATTTGCTTGGTAAATCTTCCATCCCTTTATTTTGAGTCTATATGGTCTGTAAGTGAGATGGGTCTCCCGAATGCAGCACACTGATGGGTGTTGGCTTTTTATCCAGTTTCCAGTCTGTGTCTTTTGATTGGGGCAGTTAGGTCATTTACATTTAATGTTAATATTGTTATGTGTGAATTTGATCCTGCCATTTTGTTACTGGCTGGTTATTTTGCCCATTAGTTTACAGTGTTTCGTCATTGTGTCATTGGTCTTTATGATTTGGTACATTTTTGCAGTGGCGGGTACTGGCTGTGCCTTTCCATGTTTAGTGCTTTCTTCAGGAGCTCTTGAAAGGGAGGTCTAGTGGTGATGAAATCTCTCAGTAATTGCTTGTCCATAAAGGGTTGTATTTCTCCTTCATTTATGAAGCTTATTTTGTCTGGGTATTAGATACTGGATTGAAAGTTCTTTTCTTTAAGAATGTTGAATATTGGCCTTCACTGTCTTCTGGCTTGTAGAGTTTCAACTGAGAGATCTGATGTGGGTCTGATGGGCTTTCCTTTGGGGGTTACTCGACATTTCTCTCTGGGTGCCCTTAGCATTTTTTCTTTCATTTTAACCTTGGTGAATCTGATGATTGTATGCCTTGGGGTTGCTCTTCTTGAGGAATGCCTTTGTGGTGTTCTCTGTGTTTTCTGGATTTGAATGGTGCCTTGCCTTACTAGGTTGGGATGTTCTCCTGTATAATCTCCTGAAGACTGTTTTGCAGCTTGGATTCATTCTTCCTGTCACATTCAGGTATACCGATCAAGCATAGATTATGTCTTTTCACATAATCCCATATTTTTGGAGAATTTGTTCATTTCTTTTCACTCTTTTTTCTTTAATCTTGCCTTCTCCTTTTATTTCTTTGAGTTGATCTTCAATCTCTGATATCCTTTCTTCTGCTTGATTTATTCAGCTTTTCAAACTTGTGTGTGATTTGTGACATTCTCGTGCTGTGTTTTTCAACTACATTAAGCTGTTTATGTTCTTCTCTAAGCTCCTTATTCTCCTTAGCATTTCATCTAATCTTTTTTCAAGGTTTTTAGTTTCTTTGCATTGAGTTAGAACATGTTCCTTTAGCTCAGAGAAGTTTGTTATTACCCTCCTTCTGAAGCCTCCTTCTGTCAATTCATCAAACTCATTCTCCATCCTGTTTTGTTCCCTTGCTGGTGAAGATATGTGATCCATTGGTGGAGGAGAGGTGTTCTGGTCTTTGATGGTTTCATTCTTTTTGCACTGGTGTCTTCCTATCTTTGTGGATATATGTAGCTTTGTTTTCAGGGAGGTGCTTGAGGAGGTTGCCTGTTCACTGTCTGCCTACAGAGGCACTGCTGGGCTGCTACAGACTCAGTCGAGCTCTTATGTATGTTTTCTATGTCTTTTGTTTAAACAGAAAGATTAGACTGGCCTCTGCAATGGCAGCAGCCATTTCCCCTACCAAGCTCAATCATTCTTGGTTGAGCTCAAACTGATGTGCTGGCTGTGAAAATCTCGAGTCAGAGGGCTTCAGTTTGCTAGGTTTTGTGGGTGAGGGGCCCATCTAGCCATATCATCTGACTCCCTGCTTTCAGCTCCCCTTCTTTCTGGGGGGTGGGTAGCTCCATTCTACAGGCTGTCTTGGCAGTCACCCATACGTCCACTTAGATCTGTGCTGACAACCAGGAGCACTTGCCAGGATTGTTGCTCCACTCTGTGCAGGTAATTCACAGGTGCTTTTCAGCCTAGCAAATTTCTCCTGGTGTGTAAGTTGCAGAGGGCTTGGGTGAAGTGCAGAATCTGAACAGGAATGCCACAGGAGGAGAGCCCCTGATCCTACAGTCAGATGCACTTCCTTGGTGGGGCAGCACTCACTCTGCTTTCATTTCCCCTCTTTGTGTTATACCCACTTTCCAACAAGTCCCATGGAAATGAACCTGGTACTTCATTTGGAAATGTGGAAATCACTCGCCTTCTTCATCTCTCTTGCTGGGAACTGCACTCCAGAGCTGTTTCTATTCGGCCATCTTGGTGGAGGCTCCACATATTATTCTTGACATATGATGTGGTTATCTGGCTTTCTTTTTGTAATAGTAGCCAAGTCAAATGACCAGGAAACTTCTTTCTAAAATATTTTGTAATATTGACGTGTAAGCCATTTGACTGATTTTTTGAAATAATTTAATATCTTGTTCTATGCATATATTCTATTTCTTCTTAAGTTTCCTTTGTTAATGTAGGCCTATCAAGATATTCAGTTTTAATTGATAATAATTCACATTTCTAGATTTTCTAGGCAGTTGACATAAAAGTTTCAGAAAGTATGATGTAGGACAAAAAAGGCTTTGTAATAATCAATGAATGACCCAAACGTTTCTCTGTTGTAGGATTGAGAATATAAATATGAGTGATGTGTGTGTGTGTGTATGTGTGTGTGTATATATATATAATATATATAGTATATATATTATATATATATAGTGAAGTATGTCATTTGACATGAAATTTTATCAAGGTAATACATTGGTTTAACACCTCTTTTTCATGAATATTTAGAGAGTATAGAAAATAAATTCAAATAAACAAAAATATAAAATAATTCAATAAACAATAATGGTATAAAAAATAAGCAATTGATGGGTCAGAATTGTCAGTACTTAGTAGCTTGTACAATGTGTTAGAATGTGTAGAAGCTATCATAAGCCATTTACACACATTAAAAACACCTTAGAGGCTGGGTGCAATGGCTCACACCTGCAATCCCAGCATTTTGGGAGGCTGAGGTGGGTGAATCACTTGAGGTCAGGAGTTTGAAATCAGCCTGTCCAACATGGTGAAACCCCATCTCTACTAAAAATACAAAATTAGCTAGGCATGGTGGTGGATGCCTGTAATCTCAGCTACTTGGGACGCTGAAGCAGGAGAATCACTTGAACCTGGGAGGTGGAGGTTGTAGTGAGCCAAGATCGTGCCACTGCATGTTAGCCTGGGCAACAAGAGAAAAACTCCATCTCAAAAAAAAAAAAAAAAAAAAAAACCTTAGAATTCAGAATTTATAATGCAGAAATACATAATAAATGACAGATTAACCCATTTACAATAATATTAAGTAAAAATTAAAACCATCCATAGAAATAAAAATTTTAGTATACAGAAACTAAACAAATATGAAAAATGTTAAGTAACTTGATTAGAAAATTTGATTAATTAATTGGTAGAATTAATTTTCTTACTAGCAAGTGAAAGATACACATTACATCCCAATGCAAGGGAGAGAAAACAATTGGCGAAGTTTTAGGCCTAACAATCTTACTAACCATATGAGAACAGAAATTCAACAGTTTTTTTTTAGGCAACTGAAATGACAGTAGAAATTATAAATTTTGACCAATAAAAACTATACAGGCACATACAAATTATATTTAAGCCTCTTTTAATTAACATATAAGTGAAAAACAAACATTTCTTTTATAAAGTTAGGGGCATGGTATTTGGAGCAAAAAACTTTAAGGCAAATAATATTAATCAATATTAGCATTATATAATAACAGTGATTTTGTCTGTATCTAGGTCAGTTCACTGTAGTGAATTATATATTTTCAGAAATGTGCATAAAATATAAAATAAAATTTAAATATCAAAAAATTACCCTTTACAAATTGCTATTACCACATGGCATGTTTGAGAGAAAAGGATGCTCTGAATGAAGAAACTTCAGACGTCTCACAACATACTGTTTTATGATGTCCAATGCCCAGGTAAAATATTTTAGTCATATGCACAGTGTGGATATTTGTGCTTTTATAAAAAAAAGATGCTACATATTCTTAAACATTTTAATGTAGACAACCAGAAATTTTCAAGAAGCTACAACAATGCTTAATGTGCAGAACAGAGTTAAAGAAAAATATAACAACTTCACAGGAGCAGAAGTAAATTAAGTGGACAATTCTGAGAAGTAATCAAACTAAAAAAACAAATGCTCCATTCAGATACTGCCTGACCACAAGGATGTCAGATATGTGTGATTGTGCAGCTTGTTTCCAACGAAAGTGAAATAAACATGACTATGGACATTTTAAATGTGGTATTTTTCAATATATGAGAACCAAGTAGAAAACTATGCTTTACACAAAGAAATAATAAAGCAGTATCTGAAGAAATATATTCCACAGTTTTGAATTTAAAATTATGTTGAAAATGTTTAGATAAATATAATAATAAGTATTTCTTTGAAAATACCAAGAAACTATAACATTTCAAACCATATTTGAATAACAACCAAGGATATATCAACTTAGATAATTTGTGAGTTAACCACTAAATTAGACTGAGATGATAAGAAAACTAATAAACTGGAATATTGAACAGAATGACTATAGTAAAGAATAACAAAATTTGATAAAATACAAATATAGTTTTAACTAGATAAAGAAAAGAATGAGGAGTAATTTGTCCCTAGTTCTTTCACTAGAATAAAATAAGTGAAAGACAGTTATCAAATACATGGTGATTTACAAAGTTCTAAGTTAAAACAAGGCACAAATTTTTAATTAAAAAAATGCAACATTTCAAACAAGAATAAGAAAAAATGCTTAACAAAAATAATATTCAAAATTCATAACAGCAAGAGAAGAAAAAACCTAGAAGTAAGAAAGAAAGAAAGATAACCTGCAAAGGTAAGGTCAAAACTTTCAGTCTACAAAAAGCCAGAAAGTGGAGAAATAAATATAAGAAGAACCAAGAGTTGTAGCTCAAATCTAGAATTTGATACTTGGTGACAACACATTGAATAGAAAAATGTAAATTTAAACATTTTCAAAAGGAAAAACACTGAGGGATCAGATATCAATAGGAGCTTCTTTGTATTACACTCGAACAACGTAGAAGAGTTTTCTTGTATGAATGTCTGAGAATTAAAATGAAAGAGTGAGACCATGATATAAGAATATAGACTCATGACAAAGAACTAACGACACCATGTTGTCCTGGGCAGCAGCCACTTCAAAATCAACTAGATATAATAAAAACATATTCTGCATATTTTAATTAAATATGACAAAAAATTCTTTGCTGTTCAAATAATTGAACAGATGGTAGAATAATCAGTTTTTCACCACTGAGTTGATGAACCTCTGTTGCAAATTTTGTTGAATGTTGATTTTCCTCTTTCCAGAACAAACACCAAAGGGCTGACTGGCATAGGCATTGACCATAAGCCTCTGAACGTGTAGGATAACTTGGCCATATACTGAAAACAGAAATGAGAATGAGATGCAGAACTCCACCATGTATGTGACCACAAAGCAACTCACCAACAGCAGGGTGCTCCGGGGGATGCTTTTCTCTAGGGTGATTCCTGGGAAGAGGCTGGTGCTGACATTGCTGGTATTATCTCTGATGTGTGAAGAAAAGTCATGATGTATGTACTTGAAAGAAGCATGCCTCTACAAAGAACACATAGTTTAATGTTAGAGTAAAACAAGTTTGTTACAGTGGAATTGGTCATTGTACATGAGCAAAATTTATGGAGAATCAGTCGATAGGTCTGGGTCACATTGGAAGAAGCCACAAAGTAGATCAGGTAATTACTGAAAGAAAAACTGAAAGATTGCAAGAAGACAAAAATATTGCTAATGTGATTTATAAATTTATGTTTAAGCTTTGCCACCTGGGAGGTTCTGGAGCTAATGGTGATAGCTTGGAACACACATAGGAGAGGGATGATGTGTATTAAAAGGCCCCTTATCACATTGCTCATGTAAGAAAAGTCATACACTTGAACTCATCTCACAAATTTTAGACTCAAAGAGGTTTGGAGACATTAATAACACTGTGTTGAGAAGCATACTAAATGCAAAAGAACCAGGTGACAAATGGTCCTGTCACTGAGCTTGCATCTGCAATCCAGAAAGAGTGTGAAGATGCAGAAAAGAAAAAAGGAAATGTTGGTTGAGAATCCAAAGTCAGCCTGTAACATGGAGGCATTTTAAAACAGCACCATATGTTAAAAGTGAATATATCCATGACAAAGAGGTAACACTTTACATATCTATAAAAAGACAATAGAATCATGCTGGAAACACTGTGGACCCCTTGGTGGTGACTGGGCAACCCCAAGCTTCTGGAAGAATTGGCAAAAGCTGAGCTGTCTGAAATAACAGGAAGAAAATGTTGTTGATTTTTAACCTGTAAATTCTCTTAGAACTTGGTTTCCCCGAATGAGTTATTTACTTTGTGGTGCTTGTTGCTTATTGTATTGATTATATTTGACAAGATGAAGAATAATGAGAAAAATTAAAATAGCTGTAACTTTGGCTCTGCTGAGCTCTTCTTGTAAAAGCAGGAACTCTGTAAGAGGCAAACCACATAGCCTGACTGCTGGAGAGAGATGACAGCATGTAATAAGCTTCTTGTTGCAGAAAGCCTATAAAAGGCTATGTAATGGAGAGGCTTGTTACCCAGATTCCTTTCCCAGGAATAGCATATTGATTATCACCCTGGAAAGGGAATGCAACCCTTGTGGATAGCCTATAAATGGACACATGAAGGGCGTCTGCTTTGAGGGAAAACTGTGGTGGAGATAAGAATGTAAAAGTCTTTCTTCTCCCACTGCTCCTCCAGGCCTGCATGGAGACCCCCTCCTCTTGCTGTTTTGTGGTCAGGCTGGTTGTCTTGTGTCAGATCCTGTTCCCTCTGCAACTGGGAGCTCAGTGCTTTTCTTGCTGATTATAAGTGTATGTTTAACCTCTATTCTTGCTAAGGTTTATGATTTCTATGCTGACATTGTGGTCTTTGAGCACCAGTTGTACAAATGTATTCTTTTTGTATGATCATAACCACACTGTAGTGCAGCCTCACTCCCCCTCCCCTATTGAAAGAGACTAATAAAAAACTGAGGCTCTCAGGGGAATTTTAGACATCCACGGAGAGGCTTTATGTGGTGTCTTCCCTGGGGCCAGCTTTGAAGAAAATTGTTTCTTTGTCCTTTTTTTTTTTTCTTTTTCACTGGCCACTCAATCACTCTGAAAGACCTTGAGTCCATGTTGATATATTGGGAGCTAGTCTTTCAATAGAATCCCCATTATAAATGCTGTTTATTTCTTAGTCAAAATTATAGCCTATGTTGCTATTATAATTTTACCAATTTATTTCAATTAACTTTGACTATCTCACATAAATTCTTAAAAATACAGCCTGAGGCCGGGCAGGGTGGCTCACAGCTATAATTCCAGCACTTTGGGAGGCCAAGGCAGGTGGATCAGTCTAGGTCAGGAGTTTGATACCAGCCTGGCCAACATGATGAAACCTGTCTCTACTAAAAATACAAAAATTAGCCAGTGTGGTGGTGGGCACCTATAATCCCAGCTACTTGGGAGGCAGAGGCAGGAGAATTGCTTGAACCTGGGAGGTGGAGGCTGCAGGGAGCCGAGATCGCCCCACTGCACTCCAGCCTGGGTGACAGAGTGAGACTTCATCTCAAAATATAAAAAAGAAAATACAGCTTGAGAATTATTTTATACCAATAAGATCTATCAAACGCCAAATCATTTTCCAATCCATCTGTGTAGGGTACACACTATCGATACTCCTGTAGTACTGTGATTCACTCTTTGAACAGATTTTATTTTTTACTTTCTGTATTTCTTCATTTTATTTGTATTACCCATAATAATGTGCATATAAAAAAAAGTTAAGTGTGCTTGTACAACCTTACCAAAGTGAAATTTGTGCAAACGCAGAAAGAAATACCAACATAATTTTGAAAAAAATAATGTTCCATTGAGTGAATATTATATTACCTCACCGTGACAAGTTTTTTCTTTCTTCCCTCTTTCACATTTAAGTACCCTTGTAATTTCATGGGGCCTACCCTGATGATGCAGAATAATCTATGATAAAGTCAGCTTTTTAGTAAATGATGCAATCTTTACCTTATTTTTTTGTCATCTAACATAATATATTCACAGGGTCTTAAAATGAGGATGTGGAAACATTTATACTAACTCTATCCCTTCAAAATAATCCAGGTTCCCTTCCAGCTTAGTTTCCATATCAGAGATCCCTTCAATAAAATCTCTTTAATATTTCTAAAGAAAATTGCTGCAAGGTCCTGCTCTTGATTTTCTTTTTTAACTTTCATTTTAAGTTCAGGGTACAAGTGCAGGTTTGTCACATAGGTAAACTTCTGTCATGGGGGCTTGTGGTACAGATTATTTTGTCACCCAGGTGTTAGGTCTTGTACCTCAGAAGTTATATTTACTGATCAATTTTCAAGATAACGATCAACCCATTTTCTGAGTTTATGACATCTATGAAGTTACTTCAAAATGTTCAAGTGGAGATCTTTTTATTGAGACTTTACTTATTGCAGACACACCCTCCCATGCTGTCAAAAATACTTAATAGTAAAAAAAAAAAAATCCTCATGTCTTAATCAAGGGATCTCTGTATCAAAATCTTTTGTAAAACTTTACCAAATAATTCAGAAGTCATGTTCTCATGTTATTTTTTCTGGATGCAGGCATTATTATTTTATCAAATCAATTAAATACTCAACTTACAACAATTCAGCGGTATGATGGTTAAAAAAAAATCCTCCACAGTGAATTTAATTTCTTTTATAAAATTTAAAATAATTGAACTGTTTTCAAGGTCTCTTAAAACTGCACTGATCCTTTTATATAAATACGTAAGATAATTCAGATAGTGAGAGTGTTCTTGGCTCACAGAAAAATCATAGCTGAGGTAGAACATTGCTCTAAATATGATACATTTAAGTTTATAAAGGAGAAACTGCACAATTGTTTTAACTGTTTCATGCTTAATCAGTCAAAGGGACATATTTATCTCAACTGCCAGAAACAAGCAACTAATAGCTCTCAATACCATACAACCGCAATTTCAGCTCAATTGGAATCTGTTGCCTTGTTACACTCAGAAGAAGCAACAGAAGAATCTTGACTCAATGGACAATAGTCTCCATATTTTAAGGTTCACGATTCAGTACAGGTAAAACAATACATGGACTTACTTAATAACTATTGATCAGAATTATTTTATTATGTTTCTGCATATATTTAGGTCATATATGCAGAATGATAAGTATTTTGTGGCCTTATGTGAGCCAGAAAAGATTAAAATATTAGACAAATAACACAGACAAAAACATTTTAGTATTTTTTCTCTGATCTAAATACATATTCAGCTCACTGCCTCTAATTCATGACCTCTTTTCAAATGAGTTTTATATTCTAAAAGGAGTGTGTCTGCTAGATCATTTTGTGGCCTAATTTTTCAATAGAACTCTGGATGATTTGTGCAGAGCCTGGATTGTAGAGGCTATGGTTTTGATAGATTAAAGTTTACATATATATTAGAAAACAGTGAAATAGAAATTTCAAATAAAGAATAGCATATATCTCTCCCAGGTATTATATTAGAATATTTCAAGCAAATATTCATATATTTTATAGTTAAATAAAAAGTTCTTTGTCATCTTTCTAATTTTTAAATGTAACAGTATGTTCTAAATCTTTTATGAGTCTGGAAACCCCAACATAAAATATGTAACTATGGAATCTTATAACTGGTGCAAACCTGGAAGAAACAGAAAGCAAGAAAAAGTAAAGAGAGATAATGTACATTGGTCTGAGTGCAAATGTAAGTTGAGTTTTATCTAATTTCTTATAAACTTGTAAATTTGAATGCACATCTGAGATAGCTATGAACTGCTTATGCTCAGGAGGACTGTTCTTGGGCTTAGGGTGAATCTCAGAAGACAGGCCAATGTAGATCAAATTTATTGTTCTTTTTCTCACTTTCATTTTAGGGTATTCTTAATACTGTAAGCCCCAAAGTGTATGCGCAATAATGAAAATGTAAAGAAAGCAACACCATGAGATGAACCAGGAACCAAAGACTAATTGTAAAGTTTATGCTCTTAGATCAGATGTCCAAAAAAGAAGAGGACTGCAAATGAAAGAAGTCATTGGAAAAACCCAATTCTATTTTAAGTTACAGAATATGTTATTTTGGAGAAAATAAAACTTGATGGAATTTATTTTGTAACTTTTGTAATAATATCTAACATTGAGTTGCATTATTTTATAAATAATATATTAATACAAGTCTATGCATTCTGCCTAACACATTTTAAGTATAAATATATATCACAAAATGACATTCTGCATTTTATTATAATAATAATAATCAAAAGTATCATATTCTGGCCAGGAGCAGTGGTTAATTCCTGTCATCCCAGCACTTCAAGAGTGCAAGGCAGTTGGATCACACGAGGCCAGAAGCTCAAGATCAGTCTTGCTAACATGGCGAAATCCTGTCTCTACTAAAAATACAAAAAAATTAGCTGAGGTGGTGACACACACCTGTAATCCCAGTTATTTGGAAGGCTGAGGCACGGGGATTGCTTGGACCCAGGAGGCAGAGGTTGCAGTGAGTTGAGATTGCATCACTGCACTCCAGCTGGGGCAACAGAGTGAGACTCTGTCTCAAAAAATAGCTGTCATATTCCTTACCAATTTTACCATAATCTGTGAATAGCATTGTAAAACATTCATCTGGTCATTGACAGCATAAAGTGATTGTGAGAATGTCAAATAACCTGGCTCGTGGGGAAGAGGGCTCGTTCATTCATTGTAAATAATTGGAAACCAAAACACAGCTGGCATCTTCAGGAAAGGAAAATACAGCTCCAAGCTAAAAAAAAAATTTGTGAAAGTTCTTTGTGAACAATTTACAAATGAAAAAACAAAACATTATGTCAAGTTTCAAATATTTAAAGCCTGAAATGCATTTCCTAATTTCTATGTAATTTAACTTTAGAGTAGGGTGCAGCTGGAAGCACAATGCTCACTAATCATGGACATTTATAATATAAAGACATTTTGTTTTCAGTTCATCTAGTGGAAAACACAGCAGAGGAAGGGTCATTGCAGAGGTAGAAGAAAAAACACATGAGGGACATTGATCACAAATAATGGGCAACAAATATTTGGAAATCTTAAAATCCTGCCTGGCAGTACATTTTTCTGATAATGATAACCACAAAGACAGGAGCAAAATGTAACACTTTTTTTGAGCTATCAGAGCTATGAGACTGTTGCAGTCATATAAACTGTGTCAAATATGGTAGTTAAAAAGTGGAGGGATGTGCACATTTTTAGAAGGCCTGATAACAATAAGTCATGAACCCTAACTCTCAGACATCCTTCTTCCTAAGCATAAAATGCAGAAACTTTTAACAAAAAAATACTTTAATACAAATTTAATATGTTCTCATGTTCATGGAAAGAGGAGTTGTTTTTTCTTAAAATTGTACTTTAGATTCTGGGGTACATGTGCAGGTCATGCAGTGTTGTTACATAGGTGCATACATAACCCAGTGGTTTGCTGCCTCCATTCCCCCTTCATCTATATCCAACATTTCTCCCCATGTTATCCCTCCCCACCCTCACTGTCCCTCCCCTAGTCCCCACAACTGACCCCAGTGTATGATGCTCCTCTCCCTGAGTCCATGTGTTCTCATTGTTCAACACCAGCCTATGAGTGAGAACATGCAGTGTTTTGTTTTCTGTTCTTGTGTCAGTTTGATGAGAATGATGGTTTCCAGATTCATCCAAGTCCCTGCAAAGAACATGAATTCATTGTTTTTTGTGGCTGCATAGAATTCCATGGTATATATGTGCCATATTTTCTTTGGATTAAGAAACTCACTCATATCCACACAACTACTTGGAAACTGAACAACTTGCTTCTGAGTGTTGACTGGATAAATAATGAAATGAAGGTTGAAATAAAGATGTTCTTTGAAACCAATGAGATGAAGACACAACTTACCAGAAAGAGGAATATTTTACTGAATACATTTCTTGAGATTTTGATAACGTTGTGAGCTGCAAATGTAAAATTAATGCCTTCATTATTTTCTCTGTTTTCAATAAAGTCCTGATTCCATCCTCTCTTTTGTTTTAAAGAAAAATAAAAATAAAGCATAGAAGACATTAAGTTTACTGAGTTCACACAATATTAACTTGTAAGTTTCAACAACTAAATTGAACCTCACTTATTTTTTTTTACCTTCCAAAAATGTGCCCTTTATTATTTTGACTTAAGAAGTTATAATACAATGTACTTTTTTATTTGTAATAATTTTATTATACATCAGATATTTAAAATCCCTTTCAAAATCTTACACCTAAAAATGGTAGAAAAATCTAAAAATGTGTTATTTGCTTGTTATATATATATTTTTCTATTTTTTCCCTTTTATTTTATTGCATTTTAGGTTTTGGGGTACATGTGAAGAACATGCAAGATTGTTGCATATGTACACACGTCACAGCATGATTTGCTGCCTTCCTCCCCATCATCTATATCTGGCATCTCTCCCCTTGCTATCTCTCCCCAGCTCCCCACCCCCCACCGTCCCTCCCCTATTTCCCCCCAACTGACCCCAGTGTGTAGTGCTTCCCTCCCTGTGTTCTCAGAGTTCAACATCCGCCTATGACTGAGAATATGCGGTGTTTGATCTTCTGCTCTTCTGTCAGTTTTGCTGAGAATGATGGTTTCCAGGTTCATCCATGTCCCTACAAAGGACACGAACTCATCGCGTTTGATGGCTGCATAATATTCCATGGTGTATATGTGCCACATTTTCCCTAACAAGTCTATCATCAATGGGCATTTGGGTTGGTTCCAGGTCTTTGCTATTGTAAACAGTGCTGCAATGAACATTCATGTGCACGTGTCCTTATAGTAGAACGATTTGTAATCCTTTGGATATATACCCAGTAATGGGATTGCTGGGTCAAATGGAATTTCTATTTCTAGGTCCTTGAGGAATCGCCACACTGTGTTCCACAATGGTTGAACTAATTTACACTTCTACCAACAGTGTAAAGTGTTCCTATTCCTCCACATCCTCTCCAGCATCTGTTGTCTCCAGATTTTTTAATGGTCGCCATTCTAACTGGCGTGAGATGGTATCTCAATGTAGTTTTGATTTGCATTTCTCTGATGACCAGTGATGATGAGCATTTTTTCATATGTTTGTTGGCCTCATGTATGTCTTCTTTTGTAAAGTGTCTGTTCATATCCCTTGCCCACTTTTGAATGGGCTTGTTAGTTTTTTTCTTGTAAATGTGTTTTAGTTCTTTGTAAATTCTGGATATCAGCCCTTTGTCAGATGGGTAAACTGCAAAAACTTTTTCCCATTCTGTTGGTTGTCGATTCACTCTAATGACTGTTTCTTTTGCTGTGCAGAAACTGTGGAGTTTGATTAGGTCCCATTTGTCTATTTTGGCTTTTGTTGTCAATGCTTTTGGTGTTTTGGTCATGAAGTCCTTACCTACACCTATGTCCTGAATGGTTTTGCCTAGATTTTCTTCTAGGGTTTTGATGGTGTTAGGTCTTATGTTTAAGTCTTTAATCCATCTGGAGTTAATTTTAGTGTAAGGTGTCAGGAAGCAGTCCAGTTTCTGCTTTCTGCACGTGGCTAGCCAGCTTTCCCAATACAATTTATTGAACAGGGAATCCTTTCCACATTGCTTGTTTTTGTCTGGTTTGTCAAAGATCAGATGGTTGTAGATATGTTGTGTTGCCCCGGAGACCTCTGTTCTGTTCCATTGGTCTATGTCTCTGTTTTGCTACCAGTACCATGCTGTTTTGATTACTGTAGCCTTGTAGTATAGCTTGAAGTCTGGTAGTGTGATGCCTCCCACTTTGTTCTTTTTGCTTAGAATTGACTTGGCTATGCGGGCTCTCTTTTGGTTCTGTATGAAGTTTAAGGTGGTTTTTTCCAGTTCTGCGAAGAAGGTCATTGGTAGTTTGATGGGGATAGCATGGAATCTGTAAATTACTTTGGGCAGTATGGCCATTTTCACAATATTGATTCTTCCTAACCATGAACATGGAATGTTTCTCCATCTGTTTGTGTCCTCTCTTATTTCTTTGAGCAGTGGCTTGTAGTTCTCCTTGAAGAGGTCCTTATGTTCCTTGTTAGTTGTATTCCTAGGTATTTTATTCTCTTTGTGGCAATTGTGAATGGAAGTTTGTTCTTGATTTGGCTCTCTTTAAGTCTGTTATTGGTGTATAGAAATGCATGTGATTTTTGCACATTGATTTTGTATCCTGAGACTTTGCTGAACTTGCTTATCAGCTTTAGGAGATTTGGGACTGAGATGATGGGGTCTTCTAGATATACATCATGTCGTCTGCAAATAGAGACAATTTGACTTCCTCCTTTCTTATTTGAATGCCCTTTATTTCTTTTTCTTGTCTGATTGCTCTGGCTAGAACTTCTAGTACTACATTGAATAGGAGTGGTTAGAGAGGGCATCCTTGTCTGGTGCCACATTTCAAGGGGAATGCTTCCAGTTTTTGCCCATTCAGTATGATATTTGCTGTTGGTTTGTCATAAATAGCTTTTATCATTTTGAGATACGTTTCATCAATACCTAGCTTATTGAAGGTTTTTAGCATAAAGGGCTGTTGAATTTTGTCAAAGGCCTTCTCTGCATCAATTGAGATAATCATGTGGTTTTTGTCTTTGGTTCTATTTATGTGGTGAATTATGTTTATAGACTTGCGTATGTTGAACCAGCCTTGCATCCCCGGGATGAAGCCTTCTTGATCATGGTGGATAAGCTTTTTGATGTGCTGTTGCAATCGGCTTGTCTGTATTTTATTGAAGATTTTTGCATCTATGTTCATCATGGATGTTGGCCTGAAGTTTTCTTTTTTTGTTGACTCTCTGCCGGGTTTTGGAATCAGGATGACGTTGGTTTCATAAAATGATTTGGGAAGAATTCCCTCTTTTTGTATTGTTTGGAATAGTTTCAGAAGGAATGGTACCAGCTCCTCTTTGTATGTCTGGTAGAATTCGGCTGTGAACCCATCTGGACCTAGGCTTTTTTTGGGTGGTAAGCTCTTAATTGCTGCCTCAACTTCAGACCTTGTTATGGGTCTGTTCAGGGTTTCGGCTTCTTCCTGGTTTAGGCTTGGCAGTAGGCAAGTGTCCAGGAATTTATCCCTTTCTTCCAGGTTTACTAGTTTATGTGCATAGAGTTGTTTGTAATAATCTCCGATGATGGCTTGAATTTCTGTGTAATCTGTGGTGATATCCCCTTTATCGTTTTTTATTGCATCAATTTGGTTATTCTCTCTTTTCTTTTTTATTAATCTGGCTAGTGGTCTATTTTGTTGATCTTTTCAAAAAATCAGCTCCTGGATTTATTGATTTTTTGAAGGGTTTTTTGTGTCTCTATCTCCTTCAGTTCTGCTCTGATCTTAGCTATTTCTTGTCTTCTGCTAGACTTTGAGTTTTTTT